TGGTTGACTCTTAACTTTTATAAAGAATATCTCTTTGGATTTGAGACTTTAGTCTTTGCAACTTTACAGATCTTCTTTATGCACCAAGAGCTTGTAACACTTCAAAGAGAAAGGAAAAAATTTAATTGCATCATATGACCCCTTTAAGATGTTTTTCACTTCAAACAAGTCCGCTATCCATAACAATGCTTTGTCCAGTGAAAAAGTTGTTTCGTCTGAATCAGGAGAGAAATATGCACAGATCAAGCACAAAGGGAAACAGTCCGGTTATAACAGTTTTAAACAAATACTGTATATCAATGGGTTTTGATGTGAGAGGGATGGACTTTTAAATTGGAGGAAGTGTTATTATGGATCATGGCCTCTTATGGTATTTTGTTAAAACGCACTAATGATGGATTTGTTTCTTACAAACACACAACTTTTTGCTTCACAAAATGTTAATAGATGGACTGGAGTCATTTGGATTACTTGTGGATTAATATGAAGTTTTATTATCAGCTGTTTTAACTCTCATTCTCACCCATTTACAGCGGATCCACTGGTGATGGCATGCTAAATTTCTCTAAATCTGTTCCAAAGAAGAAACAGACTTATCTACATCTTTTATGACCTGGGGGTAAATTTTAAGCAAATTTTCATTTTTTGGGTGAACTCTCTTTAATATTAGCATTACATAACATTTCAGCATCCACTAATTGTAAAATGCAGGGCTCTTTGAAGAAGAAGAAGAAAAAAAAGTTCAATATATATCATTTCAATGATGATATAAAACTCTAAAATATGCATGCAAAGTGACACACCGAGCCTTTCCAACATTTTGACATGCTATACTTTACTTCACACTACCTTTCAATGTTGCTGCTTCATTTCAATCATGCAAACTAAGCTCCCTTATTCCACACAGAATTACTCACCTGAGCTCCATGTGAACTCTGCAGTACAAAGATTCATATCACAAATCAATTAGATACGCCATGTCTGATGCCATAGATGCCTCCCCCTGCTGAAGCAACGGGCTGCGTATGTGTAATTTCGGTATGTTGATAACATTTAGGTAAGCAAGATTCATTTAGACAAAGATTAACTAATGTCATTATGATGAAAGTAGACGTCAAGGTAGCACTAACTCACAATTGTGCTTCACTATACAGTACAAACATCAGCACTTCCATACAAAAAAAAAAAGAAACACTGAAGATGATCCAAAATAACTGCAAGAACATCAATTTTTTTGAGCAAACAAGCCTCCCAGGAAGAGTTATTTGCTGAAGTACGATTACCCACAGGGTTTAGACTCATTCCCTCCACACAGAGATGCTCATGAGATATACAGTATATTACACGCCTGCGGTGGGGCCATATGTGCAGTGTTCAGATTACAAACACTGCAGTAGTTCACATACAAACTTACTCATTCAGTCCTGATGTGTTACAAATCAAATCTGTGAGAATGACAAGATCATTCCGATAAAACGCTGGGACTGCTTTCATCCTTAAGGGTGAAGAGTAAGAACTTCAAAATATCATATTAACATACTACTGGAACTACACTTGACAGAAGTTCAGTGTGCAGTACACAGTCCATGCACAATTATTTACTATACAAAAGTAGTAAAAAGTAGCAAGAAAAGCTTTTTATTTTTGCTATGTATACGTTTAATCTGTGTATTGAGATTAAAAAAAAAACATTATATAGCAGATTGGACATAATTTGAGATCTTTTTTTTTTTTTTAATTGTGCTACAGTTTAAACACATCTACTGCATGCAGTCCTGCAATATTTTGTTTACAATACAGCCATTATATTGTTTTGGGAGTCATTTAAAGCAAATTAAATTGATCTCTCCTTATTTTTTTCTTTGCTTTAAGACAAGACATGGAGACACGGATTTACATGCAAATTGAATTTCAAAAAAGCAGGTCATTCATTTCCATAAGA